GACTGCCATGACTTTTCAAATATCATGGAGAGTGGCTTGGCAACTACATCAGCCAATTCCCTCAGGACTCTGGGATGCATCTCATCAGGTCCCATAGACCTGTGTATATTGAGGTTCCTCAGATGGTCTCAAACCTGATCTTCCCTTACAGTGGGAGGGGCTTTACCCCCCTGGTCCCCATCTTGCAGTCCAACAACTTGGGAGGAGTGAGGAGAAAGGTTGCCGTTGAAGACTGAGGCCAAGAAGTTGTTGAGTACCTCAACCTTCTCCTCACCTGTTGGTACTAGGTCACCATTCTTGTTCATCAGGGTGGGTACGCTTTCTTTAACCTTCCTTTTCTGGCTGACCTACCTGCAGAAGCCCTTGTTATTCTTTACATCCCTTGCCAAATTCAGCTCCAGCTGTGCCTTGGCCTTCCTGCCCCCCTCCCTACACAGCCGGGCAGCGTCCCTATACACTTCCCAGGACACCTGTCCCTGCTTCCACTGCCTGTGCACTTCCCTCTTGCCCTTTAGTTTGACCAGCATGTCTCAACTCAGCCATGCTGGTCTCTTCCCTTCCTTGCCTGATTTCTTACACCTGGGGACTGAGAGCTCTTGTGCTCTATGGAAGGTGTCCTTAAAGATCTGCCAACTCTGTTCCGTTCCCCTGTCCCTGAGTAGGTCCCTGTCCTACTTATCTGATGTAAGAAAACCCTAATAGAAACAGGAGCTTCCCAACATCTCCCCCAAACATGGAAAGTACTATGTGGGGGCAGCTGTCAGATAGCAGGAGCTTCCAGGCATCTGGACATTTAAATGACATCATTATTACAGACACCTCTGGATTCTCTGATTGAGGTTTTCCTATTTTGCTTGGAAGGATTATGGATAGAAGGAAGATTTAATGATAAAGTGAATCGTGTGAGAGTGAGGGATTGCCTACACAATGAAAGAAAGGGTGGCTGGAGGAGACCTCTTTATTTCAGTAGACTGTGTGGAATAGAATACAAATTTAAGGCATTATGGTGCCTAACACTGTACTTAGATGCACAAGGTTTGTGTGTTGTGCCTGTTTTGACTATGACGTGCTTGGGGCAAGGACTGTGGGATTTTTAGATCACCTAGCACAGTATTGTGCTGGTCTTTGTTCAGTCCTGGAATGAAAACATTAACAATGATTGTTTTTCATGGCAGAGGCTATGGCAGACTGTATTTACAAAAAGATTCAGTTTATCCGATTTAACTATTTTCTGCTTAAACAAAACACGTTCATCTTAGTTTTCTATTTATTTGGTTTTGTTTTTTAAATATTATATCCAGGTGAGAAATGTCCTTTTGCAGTATTTGACAGTTACTTTGTGTGACCCAAGTATGTTAATAAAAATCAGAATGTATGTAGCCCCAAATGTCAAACATATCATTACAGTTGGTTTTCAATGTCCGTTTCAGTCTGGTAGTTTTGTGCTCAACTGCTATCACAGAGCAAGAAGTAACAGACCAGGGCCTCATTGGTATCAACCAGTGGACAGCACTCAAATCATCTAGCCATTTAACAGGCAAATGCAAAATCTATAAACCAGTGTGACGAACCACCTGCTGCTCCTTTCCTATTGTTCCTTTTTCTATTCTGCAAATACAAATTACATGAATCTATATCACCAAGAAATCTGCAGACTCTAACAGAATGTCAGCCTTCAACTCTGCCACGTGTATGAGAAGGCAAATAGGAAATAGGAGCACTGGTACACTTTTTCCATGCCATTCATTATTTTATGGAGTTCTTTCTTACGTCTTACTTGATTCCTCTATAACATGGCCACATTTGACTTAGTAGCTGTTTTGCTGAAAAAGAATGGAAACTACTTCACCATTTCACTAACCTGCCTTCGGATAGTTGTCATTACCCTTTAATTTTGTGCTTTTTGTAATTTATAGCTAAGTAACAGAGAAGGAACTACTCTGGAATTTGCTTTTAAGGCCCAGTACATTCCAGGAGCAAAATTTAGAAGCGTTATTTACACTCCATTCTGAGAAACACATGTTATTGTGGTTGCTTTCTTATTTAATTGGGTTGAAATAAAATCCAACATCTGATTTGGGAATACTTTTGTGTCAGTATAGGCTATTTTCTGACTCAGCTTGGTGTGTAGACTGTGTGAGTCTCATTGCTTGAATGAATAGGTGAGTCTAAGAGGCTTCTGTATAAAAGGCTACAGTTGATGTTTATCATTTTAGCTGAAGAGGAAAGATGGGGAAAGTACAATGGGGATCCACATCTGTCAGCTAGTTTTTCCTTTTCTAAACTCTATTTTTCTTTTGCAGGTGATGGAAATTAAAGGACAAATGATTCATGTGCCAGAATCAAATTCAATTTTGTTTCTGGGTTCCCCCTGTGTGGACAAGCTGGATGAACTGATGGGCCGAGGCCTCCATCTGTCAGACATACCTATCCATGATGCTACTCGCGATGTCATATTGGTTGGGGAGCAAGCAAAGGCCCAGGATGGCTTGAAAAAACGAATGGATAAACTGAAGGCAACGCTAGAATGCACACACCAAGCCCTGGAAGAGGAGAAAAAGAAAACAGTAGATCTCCTTATTTCTATTTTCCCTGAAGAAGTGGCTCAGCAGTTGTGGCAGGGGCAGCAGGTTCAGGCCAGGAAGTTTGATGATGTCACCATGCTCTTCTCAGACATTGTTGGCTTCACTGCCATCTGTGCGCAGTGCACACCCATGCAGGTCATCAGCATGCTGAATGAACTCTACACGCGGTTCGACCATCAGTGTGGATTCCTCGACATCTACAAGGTAGTAGCTCTAGTCCTAAGTTAGCAAAATCTAAATGACACTAAGATAGAAAAAAATCCCAGTAGCCATCTTCCTAAATTACAGACCTTCCCTGTAAAAACAGAAAGGCAATATTTTTGTTTTGCATTTCTACTGGGTTGACCCTGGCTGGACACCAGGTTCCCACCAAAGCTGGCCTATCACTCCCCTCCTCAGCTGGACAGGGGAGAGAAAATATAGCGAAAGGCTCGTGGGTCAGCATAAGGACAGGGGGATCACTCAGCAGTTACCATCACGTGCAAAACAGACTCAGCACGGGAAAATCAGTTTAATTTATCACCAATCAAAACTGAGTAGGATAATGAGAAATAAAACCAAATCTTAAAACACCTTCCCCCCACCCCTCCCTTCTTCCCAGGCTCAACTTCACTCCCAATTTTCTCTACCTCTTCTCCCCTGAGCGGTGCAGGGGGACAGGGAATGGGGGTTACGGTCAGTTCATCACACGTTGTCTCTGCCTCTCCTTCCTCCTCAGGGGAGGACTCCTCACACTCTTCCCCTGCTCCAGCGTGGGGTCCCTCCCATAGGAGACAGTCCTCCATGAACTTCTGCAGCGTGGGACCTTCCCACGGGCTACAGTTCTTCATGAACTGCTCCAGCGTTGGTCCCTTCCATGGGGTGCAGTCCTTCAGGAGCAGACTGCTCCAGTGTGGGTCCCCCACGGGGTCACAAGTCCTGCCAGGAGCCTGCTGCAGCACAGGCTTCCCACAGGGTTGCAGGTTTCCCACAGGGTCACAGCCTCCTTTAGGCACATTCCCCTGCTCCAGCGTGGGATCCTCCATGGGCTGCAGGTGGATATCCGCTCCACTGTGGCTGCAGGGGGACAGCCTGCCTCACCACAGTCTTCACCACAGGCTGCAGGGGAATGTCTTCACTGACCTTGGTGTCTGCAGGGCTGTTGCTCTCACATATTCTCACCCCTCTCTTCAGCTGCCATTGTGCAGATGTTTTTTTTTCCCTGCTTCTTAAATATGATATCCCAGAGGCACTACCACCATTGTTGATGGGCTTGGCCTTGGCAGATGGCGGGTCCGTCATGGAGCCGGCTGGCATTGGCTCTACTGGACACAGGGGAAGCTTCTAGCAGCTTCTCACAGAAGCTACCCCTGTAGACCCCCTGCTACCAAAACTTTGCCACGCAAACCCAATACAGCATGAAAAAAGAAAATCTGAAATATGCCCATTGAAAATCACATACTTCGATGCTGGGCTGTCATCATGGTTCCCTCATGGGAATATATGCCTGATATTCCCATTTTCCTATAGGAATGTACAAGTTTTGTATTATAGCCTGGATTCCTTCAGGTGACCATCAGCCACCGTGTCCTAAAGGTGATGAAGTGCACAGTGATGATCCTAGCCCAAGCTGCAGCTTCTGCAAATACTTTCTCTTTCAGCTGAAATTTGAATGATTTAGGGTTTAGGCACTTATCTTTCCCCTGAAAGAATTCAAATTTTCCATAAAGAGCATTCGCTAAAAAAAGTGGTATAAGAGATTTAAACTTCCACTGAAAACCAGGAAGAGGACAGCAGATGTCCATTCATAGCAAATTGAATCAGTGGGACACGGCACTGGGGTGCCATGCTGCTCTGCTGCTCTGCAGAAAAGGAGATGTTGCATGTGTTGGTCCTGTTACAGACTTCATCACTTTCACTTCTCTTCAGTGGATTTATTGTCCAGTATGTATTTGAGAGAAGAAGGAGGGGAGGTAGAATCTGGTAAATGCAGTTAAGATATTATCTGTGTAATTATCCTGTGAAATCTACAGAGAATATATTTTGTATATGGAATACCTTTAATTTTGTGACAGGAAAAGCAGAGCAAATTTCTTTTTATAACAATGCACCAAAGAAAAAAAAATATAAAAATATTTTATATTGACTTCATTTTCTGTCTGAGGCTTGCAAACTAAATCACCAGTTTTCAAACTGTTTCAAATAATATTTGTTGATAAGCTATAGAGAAAAGGTCTTCATAAGAGTGCTGTCCCTTTAATTTTTAGTGTCTAATACACTTTAAAAGGCATCAAAAATATTAATTACCCACCTAAATAATAATTGTGGCTGAGAAGTTACAATACATACCTTGGATAGAACTGAACACAGTATAGATATAGGCTGGTAGGACAATATACCGAAGGAAAAGATCACACTGTAAGTAACTTTTGTGCTCCCAGGCTAGGGGTTTGTATTCCTAATGCTCAGAAGCCAAAGGCCGTGTTGGGACAGGACTACAATGGAAGGTACCAACCCACATTTGAAAATTGTTATGGTGATATAGTCAGAAAAGACTGGAAGTTTGATCTCCGTTTGTATTTATCTGATGTTACAACACTGGATCTCAATCTGGCGCTCAGAACAGGAATTGAGGACCTTCTGACCCACAGTCAAGAGTGATATCTAGTGACCCTGTTTCACATGCTGTATCTAGTACATGGGTGTAGTTAGCATTTTCCCAGATGATTAATTTTAGTTAGCTGTTTTGAGGCATTCAGGACATTCTTTGATGAAAACTATGGTTGCATGGGAATAGGAAATAAAGTATGTAAAACTCTGTGACCTGTTTGGAAGGAAGGTTGGCTGAGTCCTGTGAGAACACTAAGAAGGAATATTTATACATAGGTCATGAATATTATATTGTTTAGACCATGGCTTTCTGCCTTTCACCTAGCTTCATGCCACTTTAGATAGAAAGG